AACATTCCTTCTAGTTGAAATTGCGGTATATAACTTGTATCTATCGGCCATTATTACAGTCACTTTATGACTCTTTCTTGGGCTCTTTGAAAAACTTAGACAAACAATAGGCCAGGTGAAATAGTGACTACTCCCTCCCGAGGTTCACGTGTAACGCACGCCTCAACTGAGGCGCCCGCTCTGCCCTTCTTTCAGCCAATCCTTTCACCCGAACCGTGCAAGCAGCAATCACTCGTCAACGGGAACAATCTGGGAAACACAAGTCGGCATTAAGTCGAGTCAAGCTGATTCTTCTCAGTGTAGTTCCACTTTTGGAGAGTTAAATTATGTTTCTTTTTTCTCGGTGGAAAACTTCAGTTTTATACCTGAGCACACCAAGTTTCCTGTTAGGATTCGCTTATTCGATTGATTACTCTATTTTCAACGACGCTGCTCTCGGTCAATCCAGCGATCGCGTGTGTATTGCAGCGGACCTCTGACCACTCTGCTACATGCGAACCTATAGTACATATAGAACAAGCAAATCAAGCATTAGCTACGCATATGTTATCAATGCAATTACCTTGACAATGACGCTGTATAAAGTCTTACATTAGCCGTGGTGCAAGTTATTACGTGAGTCGCAAGAAATTTATAATTTTGGTTATGTTTGGTTCTAAGGATATCATGCAGACACCTACCGTGGTGCTGCGCATGGTTCATATTCTTCATAGTAACCCTTGTTATAGAACTGGAACTAAAAATAGGATTTCTGTTAACCACTTCATATGCTGGAAATGGTGTCTTCTTGAGCGAGTATCGTATGGAAACGCTAGTAGAGTTCAGGTCACATGTCCTAGTCGGCATGCAAGCTCTGAATATTGACGTTCCATCTAGAAACCCACCAAAATCAACTTCGGAAACTCGCCGCCTTAGACTTTGAAGAAATAAAGTCATGTGGAGGCAACCTTCTCTCTGACCTAGAACAGAAGGAGACTACTTTTAGCGACGATCTGTAAACGTACGAGAACACCCAAATATATAGCACGAACTCTCGAAAAGCCTGCCCATCTGGTAGTGTAGCGGTAAGATTCCACCATCAATACGTCTTTAAATCTACAACAAAGGCGATAAGCGAGTTGAACAAATGGAAGGCTGTATACGAATTTCAGCAATAGAGGATTCTTATAGGGATTTACAGCCCTTTTTGGCGGCGGCCCAAAATTTTGTCAAGAACGTATTATCACTATTGACTTCATTCGAATTGAAGGTTACAAACTAAACGAACTTGCAATGCCTATGACGTCATAATTTCAAAGGGAATGTGTCCCAGTTCAAGCAGGAATGGTAGAAGAAGGCTTAAGAGACTGTTGTAACTAGTGCTAAAAGCTTCTATTGAGTCTTACTGTATGCGCTGTAGTATTCTTCAGATGCTGAGATAGAAGCATCTGAAGAATACTACAGCGCACAGAGCAAGAATTCTGAATGAAGTTCAACAAATTGGTAAACACGTAGAAGTCCGATTTTTTTGACGAGAATAAATGCTGTCAAAACATCATTGCTCACTGACCAAGCTGACCTGTCATTTACGTGATCACAACTAAGCTACGGAAGCACAGTTTTTTTTCTCGTGTCCACATTTCAGAAATATGGGTTTCAAGAATGCACCATATCCCACAAGATGTCCACCATTGCATTGAAGGAGTTAATGAGCTTCCTCAACAGGGTAAAAAAGATGTAAACAATGATGGAAAATAGATCAAATTATGGTTTTTCAGTGACACAACATTTTTGAAAAGAATTACTGTAGCAGAGACAATGCTCAAAGAACCCAATAAAGAGTCACAAGCTGACTATGAATAATCCAAGAAAAAATCCAATTCAGGAAAACTAAAAGTAGTGAGAAACAGCTCGAGACGGATAGTTTCATGGTGATCGCTTCGATGGCAATCAGCAAATGTGGAAAACGACATAATGGAGCAGCCGTCGAGGAGTATTTGCATCTATCGGTGGCCTACCCCCGCGAGTTCTGCAAGCATCAGCATATTATGCATCCTTTTTGCCCACTTCCAGCTCTTAAACACTAGCTTAATAATCCAGGACGGTGTTAACAATTAATGCCGAGGCTAAAAGACTATAGGTTTGGAAAATAAGGGCAGTACTGTTGCACAGCGTGCCTCAAGATGTTGGATGAAAACTTAGATTAATCAGCAACCTGCTGAACACACGTGATCGTTGGTTCGATATAGCTCCCCAGACTCACCAAGCTTCTCATCCTCCGCGCTCACAAAATGTTATAAGAGTTGCATGGAAGGATAGCAGCACTGACTCGATATACCAGTAGGCAACAGCGAATCATTGTAAAGGCCTGATATGCTATTATTCGCCCCTTATGATACTTCATGAAATCGAATGCATGGTGCAAACCTCAGAGATTAATCAACTATAACGGCTTTATCCTTCCAACCTTTATCTATTGTTATTTAGATTTAAACAAAGCCGTAATAAAATGGAGTGTATCATGAAAATGTCTTCACTTATCAGAATAATCACAATCTTGAGTTACTTGGTATACCTCATTTTGTCCAACCATATAGGCATTAACGTTCGTGCACACCGTTCTAGCAGGCACTTTCTTTCATTCTTTTATCTACTGGTCCGCATGTATCCGTGTATTTTGTATCCGGAAATACAACACATTAGCTACTGCGAGGCTGAGATATTTGCAAAACGTGAACCTAAAACAGACCTGAAAAGGCAAGGCAAGGGCCTCAGAGGTGGAGTGGGTAATATATGAGCCCTTGGAGAGGGTAATCTAGGGTTCGAATTTGGCCTACAGTCCATGTTTTGGAAATATCTCAACCTTGCAGTGGCTGTATTACACATCGTACCCAGGCGTGAAAAATAGCAACGGGCAATAAACAAAAAGATAAACATTGTGCTTTCGACTACAACATTAGCTCTTTAATTGCATGCATGCATGCATGCGTGCGTGCGTGCGTGTGTGTGTATGTGTGTGTGTCTTTGTCTTTGTATACGTATACGTATACGTATGTATGTTGGTGTGTTTGTGGTGTCTCACAGATAGATGAATGTAATCAGCATTGGCTTACACGAATTACATCTCCGGAGCTCAGATGATAGGCGTCCAAATAGCATGTTAAAAAAGGACAAAGCTCTTCGGCGTTGATCAATCCCTAAAGGATGCGCCATGCATTCGACTTCATTAAGCATCGTTTGGAGGTGATTGAATGCATAGCTGGCCTTTACAATGACTCGCGGTGGCTTACCGACGTATCGAGCCACTGCTGCTATCCTCCCAGACAAGTATGGTACCAATATGCCGACCCCGGATGGATGAAAGGGTTGGTGGGCAATGGGCGTGGAGATCGACTGTGTTGTATGGCTTCTCCGACCACTGCGCCGCAAACGCCTTTAATAGCAAGTTACTTTCGGTTAAAGCCATCGGTGTTAGATTTGATTTACATCACCGCTGATGTGAAGAAAAGTCATAGCAGCTTTCAAAATGATCAACTTATGAATGAATACCTTATATCTTTACGTATACCACTGCCGACAATCTCGAATGCGTTGACGTCTCTTCATTCACCGCTGAGAGAGAGGTTTCTTCCAAATTTAAGGGCCAATTGTTGGCTTCGGTGATCACTAAGAAGGCAATAAGTGCTGTTTGGAAGGGGAGACCGTATCCACGGAGTACAGCCGAAAAGTTTCCAGCGAAATTTGAGCGCTAGTGACCTATGATGCATGTAATTCTGCAATATTTTTTCAGACCAATGATACCATTGATATGTTTGGTCTCGGGTATGGCTGCTTTCACTTACATTCTTTGCTCAAAACGGAAACGAAAAGAAATTACACCATCGATGCGAACCATGCATGAGAAACTTGAGAAAACAGACGGCGGATCGAAAGCCGAAAATCAGCAGCCGGCACCAAGCAAGTGAAGCCCAATCGCACAAATGATGCCACTTTAATGCATTTTGACTCTTATATTATTAAAATCCCCATAATCGATTCACGAGAGTCGATCGACCTTAACCAGAATAAACATTTCTGTTGCTTTGTCAAAAGAAATTGAGCCATGGTTCACGTTTGTCTATAGTAAACTATTACTACTTTAGTAAGGAGAAATTAGCTCGGTTACTAGCAAACGAATAAATCACTGCTTCTTCAATCCATGTTGGTGGCGCCTTTCTGACGGTTTCTTCAATAGCAGTTCTCACTAGCAAACACACAGTTTGGAATTCGAAAATTATTAACAGAAATTGCTCCGAAATAGTACTACATCGTTCAAAGTTAACATTCCATGCTACCGTATCAAGTCAAATAGTGCTCCGAAGCAACCATGGATATTCGGACGGACTGCCTTCACTCGGGGCGCGTGCCCAGCATAATCACCATCTTTTCGGAGTTCTATTGATTTAGTCATTGTGACTTCCTATAGTCCCGAAGTCATCCTGGGAAAGTCTGGCTCAGGTCTCACCACTACGGGCAATTCTTGTGGATCATCACGGCCCGTCCTTGTGGATCAGGGGGTGATTTGCCACACTTGACGAGTTCAGTACCAGGACGGTGATAGATCCTGGTATTGGTTTATTCATCTGGGCTTCCCAATGGAAACGCTGGACTCCTTCTCAGCTTCGGAGACTCCTTGGCTGTACATCGCAGCCCGAGACCTAGGAACACCTCTCAGCTAGAATGAGACGGTAAACTGTTGGGATGTGCTACCAAGCTGCCAATGTGAACTGAAATTACGTTGATGTGGAAAAAAACCACTGAAACCATACGCGCAACAACTTTACTTTAGTATGATACTTCGTCTATAAACAAACAAAATAACCAACTCTTTAAATACTGAAAATAATTTATTTTAACACGTACCACTTAACACTCGTATAAAATACAGATCAGAGGAACAAAAACGAGGACAGAAATCGTAGTGGCAAATAAAGGCTTCGTAGTATGTCCACCCATAGATTCCCACTTCGATGAAAATTCGATTATGACGGCACTTCCAGATTTTCCCGCAAAAATTTTAGCTTTTTCCGTTGAGTTTGAGCAATTCGCAGATACAGGTTGTCATACATCTGCAAAAAAGATTTGCAGTGTTTTCTTACCAGCAAACATAGAAAAGTCATGCATTTTCCTATTGCATATAAATGGACACAGTTTATCCATGGATTATTATCAAGGATTTTGAGTATAACATCCATGTTTAAAAGGCAGAAGTCTGGAAACATCTGAAAGCAAATCAGAAAACGTGGGCTTACAAAATACTACAACACTTTTCGTAACTCTACTTCAATATGGAATCCTGAAACTAAGAAATGAAAATGGGCAAGTTGGTAAGAATGTCCCACGAACGACTTTTTGTTAACCTTGAAATTGAGCATACAATTCTTTGTAACCTTGTTGAGCAAGTATGAAGTGTTACTTTATTTTCTAATTTACGAAAAAACCGACGTTTCAGCGGATTTCAATTCCTCAGAGCGCGGAAAGGTCTAATTGACTGCAAGCAACCCAGCTAAACACCTTCATAACCAGAGAGACGGTGCTAAATGTGCTGACAGTGGTAGGAATATTTCGAAACCGACTTTCCTTGAACCTCGGTATCACTAATCAATATGTATTCTTTCTTTTATGAGCTTACACGAGGTTGATAATATTTATTTTCGGCTAACGTTTCGACGTCTTCGTCTTCCTCAGAGCCGATGATCCGAGTCGATGGTCCATGCTTGTTATTCGTCTCGACGTGGCGCCTTCGCCTTTGTGTCGAGTCAGGTCTTCTTCTTGTCAAGAATACATATTGATTAGTGATACCGAGGTTCAAGGAAAGTCAGTTTCGAAATACTAATTGATATATTAAAGATCTGCATCTGCACGATGTGCGCAATGATGATGTATTGGTCTCTACGTGACATACTTAGTGGGAACCTCATAGGAAGCGGCTCTGAGGAAGGCGAAATCCGCCGAAATGTCAGCTTAATCGTGAACAAAGAATAGTAACACCTCGCGTTTGTTCAACAAAAATACGAAGAAAACCACTTGATCAATGCCGAGGTAAATAGAAAGTCGGTCGTGGCAGTTACACTGTAAAGAAATGGAACAGCTATGTAGTGCTCAATGAGAAAGTGAAGCGACTACAAGGCGGTGTTCATAATCAGACATAAAACTGATAGACAATAGTTGTAATCACACACCTGTCCATGACTTTCAGACTCGTCGCCCCCATTTGCAGCACTATTTTCTGTTCTAGGTAGAGTGCTGAGGTTACCATTCTCTTTCTTATCGATGTCCTGAACGTTCTAATCCATTAGTCCATATGATTATTCAACTTAGCTAAATGCTATATATCGCCAATAAAACTGTTCAAACCGTGACCAAGATAAAATAATAAGAGCTGAAGATAAAGCTGTCGGCGTTGATCAACCCACGAGGGATGCGCCATGCATACGACATCATTAAGCACAGTTAGAGGTGACTGAATGCATATCTAACCTTTACAATGACTCCCAATAGCCTACCGATGTATCGAACCAGTGCCGCTATCCTCCCAGACAAGCCTGATACCAACTTGCCGACCACGGAGGGACGGAGTGCTTGGTGGGCCTCGGAAGCGGGGATCGATCCCATGTGCACTGCATAGCGCCTTCGACCATTGCGCTACGTGTGCTATGGATAGGATAACATATAGGATCTATCAACAAAAAAAGATCGTTTGGAGTTAATGGAATTGAAAAAAGTTAGTACTATATGCTCTAGGCAGAATCGCAGTGATTTAAAAATAAAATTCGTAGCACTGATCAACGATGCAGACTTTGTTCAGAAACTGACTTCCATTAAAAAATTACTGGAAGAAAATAATGGAGACCTGGTTGCGCAAGAACATTTGTCTATGGTCTCATTCAGTCTTTATCATCCAAAGATGATGATAGGTAGAGCATACTGCTAATTCTTTTATTCGTCCCCTAGAATTCTTCACGGCAGATTATTATGTGAAATACAACAATGACGATGCCGCGATATCCGCAAACTTCCCAACCGCTGGTGTCTGAGGTGGGGATCAAAGACGCTGTTACTCTTTCCGAGGCTAAAACGTTCACCACCACACCGTGCAGCTCCTCCATTACGCCTTTCTCTCGGTTAGCTTTTTACCTACCAGTACTATCGGCAATCAATCGTCAACGGGAATGGCGTTGAACGCGTTAGTTCCGGAAAGGGTAATAGCGCGTTTGTTCCCCATCGCAGACACCTGTAGTCTCGTGTTTTCCAAATATCTAAATTTCATTATGGTCAAAAACACTGTTAGAGAAGGATCCGCGATCGTGAACGTGTCCTACATGCTTAAAGTGAGTTGAACTTAAAAACAAAAATGGAAAAGCATTCCTATAAACAGAGACAAACATGAAACCACTACCTCCTCATCGTCATCATCGTAGACACCCCTCTCCTTCATTTCGTCTGATCTCAGGCAGGACATATACGGCCGCAATTCTGGCATAGGACTAATCACTAGAAAAAATTTAAAAGTAAATGATTGCTAAGATACGATTTATGCAGAATTCAAGAGAAAACATGTAAAAGGTGGTCACACATAGAGTCAAACATCGAGGTTCGTCTGAAAAAAAAGCAAAGGATCGGATTTCGTGGAACCAGCGCTGAATTGATATGCCTTCTTCAAAAAGCTTACATGATTATGTCGAAACGTTAGCCGAATAAAAAGTATTTAGTTTACCGAAGAGAGAATACACGTTGATTAGTCACATTGAGGTTAAAAGATAATAATTTTAAAATAATACTAGCTCTTTACCGAATTTGTAGTCAATGCTAAAGATTTTCCAGCGATCAACCCATAGTTGTAAACATCTTCGCGAGAAGATTTGAAGAAGGCAAGAAATGAAAGAATGTAAGCAAACAAGTTCTGTAAGCCTTAAATAACTATCTGCGCAATCAAGCCTGATTCTTCGTTTTCAATACTTACAAAACTACTTGACGCTTCAGAACAAAAAAATGCTTTAGACTACCTAAACATACACCGACTTCCTGCTCTAGCACGAGCAAAAACGACTTTAAAAGGACCTTGGCCGTAGTTTTGTAAGTGCTAAGGACTGATTGCTGGTCAAGATGCTCAATTTAAGAAAGTGTGAAAGCGACCCAAGAATTTTGAAAAACCATTAAAAAGAATGCACAGCATCTGGGATATCTAAAGGCCAAAGTTCATGTATAGACTCGGTGGAGGACATCAAACCGAGAACCCAAGAAACACACGTATACCTCAGGATACCTCAGGCTAATCCAATAACCTGACACAGCCCATGTATTACTCTGTGCGGCGGCTATCCATCAACTAACTTAAATACTTACAACAAATAAACAGTAGGTGTTTTAATGAAGCTGTTTCTTATGCGAATGCAAATCGATTTGTCAAGTTTTATCTGCTACGGTTATGAAAGTGTTTGGATGAGCAGATCACATCTCAATTTGACCTTTCCAGGCTCTGAAGGAGGCGAAACCGCCGAAACGTCAGCAATTGTGTTCTAATAAATTCTATATTAACAACCTCGCGTCTGCTTATTGAAGAGAAACACGTATAAAGGCTTGCACAACGCGAATTTTAGGAAATAATAGAGAGTAGGTAGCATCACTAAACGTTAAGTTACACTGCGACGAATCCATATCAAAGCATGAAGGCCGAAGGAAATAAATTTTTGAGGTTAACTTGCGGTTTTAACAGCTAACCCTCAAGGAAGAAATATCACAAACCAGCGCATGAAGGTGGTATTCGTTGTAGTATCATATTCATTTCCGTTTCGGCAACATCCTCGAGGTCTTCTTCGGATGCTGTCTCATCCCTATCGCTTCCCGAATCCTTAAGGGACCGACAACTGCGTTACCTTGTATACGCATATGTTATACCCACAAAACAGAACCACGGTGCTTAATATACTTACTTCTTCACCATCGCACACTTCCTTCTTGACTAGCCCAGCTTTTACAGCTTCCTTCTGCTTTTTACGAAAATCTCGATCTCGTTCAACATCGCGCAACTGTAAGAACCACAAAACATCATGTTCTGGAAATGTTTTCTCTCCTACGGCTAAAGATGACTCTTAGCTCATCTTCATGGTTATCCTGAAGATACGATAAGCCTAGTTAAAATCAACGGCCTACGAGAAATAATTTACACACACACTTACATACTGCTTCGCTTCATTCCTTACTCTCATTTCGAACTGAGGAAACAACGTGGTATGAGCATGCATGCACATCATGTAGTTGATGAGGGACCGCTCCATCTCACGCTTTCGCTGCGCTGCTGTTTTCCGTACCGCCTCATATGTCAAATCAGGTTCACCTGATATCTACAAAAGACGTTTGTAATGTTTGAAGAAAGCACCTGTTTTGTCGAAAAAGTAAAATATTTAAAGTGTCCTCAAATAAGGTCACATATTGAGTACTTCAACCCTTCTAAGACAAATGCTCTCCTGATTTTTACAATTCTTATCCTCCTTTCTATTCTCCTGAGATAATGAGTAGACAATTCTCGGAATGAAAAATCGAAATGCAATACTAACATGGTGACAGGTGGTAGTGCATAATAAAAAGTACCTCCAAAAAACAAGAAAAACGACAGCGAAAAAACCAAGCTTCTCAGAAAGAAATCTGAACATGCCCAAGAGTAAAGCAGAATGACTATCATTTGATAATCGAGATACATTATAGTGTTTTTTTTAGTGGAAGCAGTGCTTACTTGGAGTTTCCGCTCCACCGAAAGTTTCTGATAATTTTAGTGGAATTTCATGGTAGTCTTGGAGGTCAACTAAACGGTAAGGTGTCTAAGTACATCATTACGGTAGGCTTGTAACTTATTTCTTCAAAAACGATGAACGCAATAAAACAAAATTTCTAGCATACACAACCTATTGCACAGAAGTAAAACCAACCTCTGTATGAATATAAGTGTGTGGTTCAGGAAAAGCAGGAAAGAACTCGTGGACATACGGCGGATGTGGACGCGATTGACCGATGAGCATCGGAGGAATGGCCGGCGGTTCCTGACGCTCACGAGCTAAGAAATTATCTCTAGCAGTAGGCTACACGTGAAATAAAATGAAAGAGGAAATACCAGAAACTTACGTGGTGCGATTGCAATTGTGCCAGTGACGCGAAGATGGCTTAGATATCCCGGCAGTTGGTCCACCTTATGTCCTAAATCGGCCAATGCCAACCATACATCACTTGCTATGAGGATGTTCCGACCGGCTACTTCACAGTTTAACTTGGCACCCAGACTAATCGAGCAGATATCTAAATTAGCAAGTAATTCTTCTTTACTCGCCTCTAATTGGGAACCTTAATGCTTTTACGAAGAAGCAAAAAGCACGTAGAAGTAGATAGATAGTAGAAGTAGACACTTGAATGACCCGCCTTCAATAGTTGTGCGGGCCCCAGTTTAATTTTCACCTTTTTGGAGATTTGCTGGTTAAGCCATTGTGGTTCACTAAAATCCCGAGGTCAGCCTAGCCAAAATCTGCTCCAGGTCGTCACCACTACAGACGTAGCGTTTGTGTATACGAGGGAGATTTGCCACCACGCGACTAGCTTGATAGCACGACGGTGGAGAATTCTGGTAATGGTTTACTCTTAGCTGGGCGTCTTAGTGGAACCGCTGGACTCCACAGCTTGGGACACCGTGCCCGGGGAATGAATACCCTCCCTGTACAACGCAGTCCGACGCTCAGAAACACCTCCGTTCCATGAGGAGGTGGTGAACCGTTAAGAGGAGATAGAATCAGATACAATTCTGATAGTTACGAGTGGGAGTCTAAGAAAATAAGATAAGAAGATAAGAATAAAAAAAGATAAGAATAAGAAAGATAATCTTTCTGAATGAGAATTGCACCTATTTCTACTAGGTAGAATTAGATATAATTCTCAATAAAACACGCCAAATTTTCTATCTCGTTTTCCCTGAAAAGTAGCAGCAAAAGAGAACCCGATAGAATTTACAAGTAGGTAAAGTTGGGTAGGTGGTACTAACAATTTTTCAGGCGTTGGGCCAGTACTTCCAACATATTTGCATCAATGGCGTCGAATCCCACAGATGAACATATAGCGGCAACTGACTGACGAATCACTTGATCATATGGATCGTCTTCTGGCCATTCTTCCGGCGGCACATCACCATCGCTTCTTCAATTAGTGATTTAACATACAAACATCTCGTAAAACTACATTTTTTATGAAGCAGTTTATCTCACGGAAAGCTAACAACAAAACTAGATGGTTACTACTGTTATCGAGGATAAGAAAAAACTAGCATAAACTACCCACCTATACTAACATACGATAAAGCAAAGGACGACCCTACTACTCGTTAGTTTATATTCTTAAAACCACAAAATGCCAAAGATTCCTACTCCCCTATGGAAACGACGCTCCTAGTGTCAATCAATGTTTTTATAACAAAAGGCTACCAGTTACTGGATGATTTGGAGAAAAGGATGTGAGAGAAGCTATACCCCGTGAGTAGGGGTCTCCCTTTAAATCGATAACAAAAGGAGCAAAAGCGCATTTAATTGACCGTTCATTACATTTATTTATGTGACCTTATAAACTGATCTTCTTAAGCTGACGCGAGGTTAGTACAGATATACGTTGTCGTTGTCGTTGCTTTTGATGTTATTGATCGATGGTTGACGCTTCGGCGACTTCGCCTTCCTCGGAGCCTGGACGTATTTAATATTAGAATATTTTTATTATTCGGTGGAAAAGAAAGGTTAAAGTGTTAATGAAGATCAAACTTTCAAATAAACGCCATATTGAACAGAAAGGCCACTCACCGCGATGTTACGTGCGGAACTGTCCCACACGTAGTTCACGTGGAGTCACGAGCAAGACACGCCCCGGGGTCAAAATATCATTTTGAAATAGGCCGCCAGGTCACGCGTGATAGTGAGGCATTCGTCCTTCCGGTTCACCTTTGGATTTTTGAAATCTATCCAAAACGCCTCAAGAGTTTTGCGCGTTGATGTTTTTGATTCCTGCGCTAGGATCCGCACATTCACTTCAAAATCATCGCCGTTGTGCTTTTGTGCCCTATGCGTACCTAGAGAGGTGTTTAAACGAATTTTAGGTTTTCCATCTAGATGTTCTTTTATGCAGACACAAAGTGGTTTACCCGTTTCCCCGATATATTCCTCGCCGCATGCATTACATGAGATCAAGTATATTATACCTAAACCCATGCAATCTCCATCTCTCCCGTTAGGACAGATCATACAGTTTTCTGAGCTGCACAAACGATCATAGAGACGGTTTCGAACTAACTGGCGGCGTAGGGTATTGGGTGGGATGTTAATAATCGTTACATAATTTTCAAGACCACTTTTCCTTAAACACTTTTTAATGCTTAATTAATTAATGCTTAACGCCATTAAAAAAGTGCTTAAGAAAAGGTGGTCTTGAAATTATGTAACGATTATCGACATCCCACCCAATACCCTACGCCGCCTGTTAGTTCGAAACCGTCTCTATGATCGTTTGTGCAGCTCAGAAAACTGTATGATCTGTCCTAACGGGAGAGACGGAGATTGCATGGGTTTAGGTATAATATACTTGATCTCATGTAATGCATGCGGCGAGGATTATATCGGGGAAACGGGTAGACCACTTTGTGTCCGCATAAAAGAACATCTAGATGGAAAAGCTAAAATCNACGATTATCGACATCCCACCCAATACCCTACGCCGCCTGTTAGTTCGAAACCGTCTCTATGATCGTTTGTGCAGCTCAGAAAACTGTATGATCTGTCCTAACGGGAGAGACGGAGATTGCATGGGTTTAGGTATAATATACTTGATCTCATGTAATGCATGCGGCGAGGATTATATCGGGGAAACGGGTAGACCACTTTGTGTCCGCATAAAAGAACATCTAGATGGAAAAGCTAAAATCCATTTAAACACTCCTCTAGGTACGCATAGGGCACAAAAGCATAATGGCGATGATTTTGAAGTGAATGTGCAGAACCCTAGCGCAGGAATCAAAAACATCAACGCGCAAAACTCTTGAGGCGTTTTGGATAGATTTCAAAAATCCAAAGATGAACCGGAAGGACGAATGACTCACTATCACACGTGACCTGGCGCCCTATTTCAAAATGATATTTTGACCCCGGGGCGTGTCTTGCTCGTGACTCCACGTGAACTACGTGTGGGACAGTTCCGCACGTAACATCACGGTGAGTGGCCTTTCTGTTCAATATGGCGTCTATTTGAAAGTTTGCTCTTCATTAACACTTTAACCTTCTTTTCCACCGAATAATAAAAAGTATTCTAACATAAAGTACGTCCAGGCTCTGAGGAAGGCGAAGTCGCCGAAACGTCAGCCACCGATCAATAACATCAAAAACAACGACAACGACAACGAAGATCTGTACCAACCTCGCGTCAGCTTGAGAAGATCAGTTTATAGGATCACATAAATAAATATATCAACTATCTATGCCGAGGTTTATAGAAAATCGGTCTTTCGAGTTATTGACTGTTCATTAATTTGTTTCTAGAACTGAGTAATATAAAAAGCAAGTAAAATAAAGGGCGCATGTAATAGATTGGCCAGAGGTGCCCTGTAATACACAAGCGATCGATCCCTGCGTCCCAGGCTCAAGAAGCCATCCATCTCTAGGGGGTCGGCAAATTGGTACCAGACCTGTCTCAGAGGACAGAAGCACCTACTCGAAACATCGGTAGGCCACCGCGAATCATTTTAGAAGTCAGATATGCATTTAATCACCTCCAGTGATGCTTAACGAAGATGAATGCGTGGTGCATCCCTTACAGATTAATCAACGCCGAGAGCTTTATTCTTTATCATTTACTAATTAAAATAAAACAGCGAGTATAAACACAAGTAATGTCAAAAAATACAGTATGCTGGGTGATAATCGGCTGAAGTCAAATGAAACCTGAAGTAGCTGGTAAGTTAACAGTGGTAGCAAAGACTTACTTTGCCTTGATTCCAAGAGGAATTGGTCGTACTGAAACAGGTGGAGAAGAGCTCGTAGCATCATCCTCCAACAGACTTGCATATGTATCAATTTCATCGGTGAATCCGGATTCTGGACTGTGCATTTTGACTCTTTTAACCCTTAAGAAAGGTTCGTATATCCATCAACTACATAACCCATAATAACTCAAAAAAAACGACTTCCTATACAACTCGACATAAACAATCGATATGTCCATACATATATGTTCTTACGAACTGTCCTTGTTGAGCTGACGTGAGGATGGTAAAAGTAGCCGTTGTAATAGTTGTTGTTGTTGTTGTCCGGATGGTTCCACTCGTAACAGCATGGTTCCGAAGAAGGCGAGGTCGCCGAAACGTCAGCTATCGAACAGCGACAACAGCAGCAGCAGCAACAACAACAACAACAACAACAACAACAACAACGAAGACGACCAACTTCTACTTCATAGAAACTGCGAAAACGGAAGAAGGGATCGTTTGCGTCGTGCCAGCAGCGCAATTTCGGTACCGTGTCACCGACACGATTGGCGCGCGCTCAAGCCCTTTAATAACGCTCCATTACAGAGTTTAACCACTCCGCTCCTATTGCATTGACTTCAATATGTACGCTTTTGTACGATTCAGACCGTGCATCTTGGCCTCAATGCGCTCGCTTTTTCCTGGCCAATTTTGCCGCACATAGCTTTTTGCTACAGTTTTCGAAGCCAGTCGATAGCTTGTCGAGCTCAAATTTCATAATAGAGATTTTCTACGGATAGGTATTCTCATTGCGCTGTATTAGCGAAAAGTGTACTACGTTGTACTTTCAGAGTAGTTAGCCCTTGTGTTCGAATTCCACAACGGTTCTGTTGGTACTTAGACAGTAAGGCTTAAAAGTTAGGGACACTTTGTCGCCACGAAGAGAAGATGTACCACCGAGGAGACTTCTATGAACGCATTCGTTGTAGAGGGCCTCAGCGCCACTTCTTTGTGCACTACCAGGGAACTAAGGGAAGAGACGCGCGACTTGGCTCTGCAATTAGCCATCTCCAATGGCTACGAAATAGTAACCCCACGAAATAAGTTTAGAAGGAGAACGACGCGACAACGCGAATTAGCCAAAAGAAAATCCCGTTTTTGTTGCCTTTATTGCCTTTTATAAGCGATGAAGTAAGCGTAGCTATAAAACGATGCTTAAGAAGAACAGGTCTAGAGGAATCGGTAGCGATAGTTGAAATACCACCGACTACTCTACGTCGCCAATTAGTTCGTAACCGCCTGTGTGACGGTCTATGTGGAACAAAAAATCGCGTAATTTGCCCTTACGGCAGGGACGGTGATTGCATGAGTTCAGGTACGATATACCTGACCTCTTGTAATAATTGCGGAGATGAATATAATGGCGAAACGGGCAGACCTTTGTGCATCCGTATAAAGGAACACCTAGATGGTAAACGAAAACTAAGACAAAGTACCCCACTAGGCACGCATAGGATACAAAAGCATAGTGGAGACGATTTTAAAGCAAAAGTCAATATCCTTGCACAGAAGACTAAAACACCAGCGCGAAAACTCCTTGAGGCTTTTTGGATAAATGCCGAAAACCCTACACCGAATAGCAGGGAGGAGTGCCCAGAGGTCATACGCGACCTGACCCCGTACGTTCGCATCAATTTCCGATGTGGGATGGCGCAGTCGTCAACCACATGCGACTATAATCAGCTGTTCTAAACCTCCTCATTGGAAGTCAAGAAAAAGCGGTGGGTTTTTCCAAGAAGTTGTTGATTATGTAATTACCGGAGAGTTCTTCGTCTTTTTGTAAGTGTTATTGAAGCGTTTGGCCTAGTAGATTGCATATCAGTGTACCCTTCCAAGCTCTGAAGAAGACGATACTGCCGAAACGTCAGCTAGTGTTGTATTGTATTGCGTTGTTCTATGGAAGTAAATGTATGCTGTTTAAAAAGCTCGCGATTGCTGAAACAAGAAAACGACGCATGCTTTTACAGAGGTATTTCTAATGTGTACCAGGGATAAGCGAGTGCACATTGACCAACGTGTAGAGTGCTTCTTAGGAAAGAATGCGTAGTACCAGTCCATATTTTCATAACATTTTACTGATATCGTGAACCTTTTGCTAAAAATATCTATTTAACAACCATCAATTTGTTCAACCAGCACCGCCGAATAGTTAAGGAAAAATAAGGGGTAAAGCTGTCAGCGTTGATCAATCCTTGAGGGGTGCGTCATGCATTCAACTTCGTTAGGCATCGTTAAAGGTGATTAAATGCAAATCTGGCCTTCACAGTGACTCGCTGTGGCCTTTCGATCCATCGAGACGGTGCTGCCATTCTACCAGACAGGTGCGGTACCGACCCTGGAGGAATGGAGAGCTCGCTGAGTCTGGGGTTTGGGGTCGAACCCAAGTGTATTGCAGAGCACCTAGAACCACTGTGCTACACACACTCCTTCAGCGTACAACACTTTACAATCCAGATCAGTCAGCAATTCACCCGTTTTGCATAGAATCTGAACTTCTTACATGTAGTACTTACGTTCTATATATAATTGGCACCTCGTAATCCTCATCATAGCAATATAGGGTATGCAGTTCCTGCCTATAATATTCAGTCCTTAAGTCGAATGTCTGCTTCTTATGAAAGGATCACATTCGCGATGAGCAGTATTAATACAGACTACTAAATCATTGCCGTTAGCGGCTTATTGCTGAAGGCACTGTTAGGGTAAAAAGAAAACTTCGTCGCCCATGTATTACTATGTGCGGCTGCTATCCACCAACTAAATTCAATACTTACAACAAATAAACGGCTCCGAAGAAGGTCAAACCGCCGAGACGTCAGCTATTGTATCCTAATAAATTCTATAACAACAACCTCGTGTCTGCTTATTGAAGAAAGACATCGAATTATCAATCAATGCCGAGGTTAACAAAAAGTCGATCTTGGTAGAAAAAAGCTCTAGAAGCTCTCGGCGTTGTTCAATCCCTCAGGGATGCGCCATGCATTCAACTTTATTAATTATTGCTGGAGGTGATTGAATGCATATCTGGCCTTTACAATGACTCGCGGTGGCCTACCGATGTATCGAGCCAGTGCTGCTATCCTCCCATACAAGTCTGGTACCAATTTGCCGACACCGGAGGGATGGAAGGCTTGGTGAGCCATGGCGCTGGAAACAATTTCACGTGTGTGTAGCAGTGGTGCCTGCAACCACTGCACCACAGTAGAAAGTCGGTCTTGGTAAAAAAAAAAACTGTATAAGAGAGAGGCAAATCAAGGGCTTCAGTGGTGTAGTGGATAACACGTGAGCCCCAGGAAAAGGTAATCGCAGGTTCGAATCTTGTCTGGCGTCTGAGTTTTCCAATTAACAGCATCATATTTATTTATGTGATCTTATAAACTGATCTTCTTAACCTGACGCGAGGTTGGTACAGATCTTCGTTGTCGTTGTCGTTGTTTTTGATGTTATTGGTCGATGGCTGACGTTTCGGAGACTTCGCCTTCCTCAGAGCCTGGACGTACTTTATGTTAGAATACTTTTTATTATTTGGTGGAAAAGAAGGTTAAAGTATTAATGAAGATCAAACTTTCAAATAGACGCCATATTGAACAGAAAGGCCATTCACCGTGATGTTACGTACGGGACTGGCCCACACGTAGTTAATGTGGAGTCGCGAGCAAGACACGCCCCAGAGTCCAAATATCATTTTGAAATAGGCCGCCAGGTCACGCGTGATAGTGAGGCATTCATCCTTCCGGTTCATCTTTGGATTTTTGAAATCTATCCAAAACGCGCCAAGTGTTTTGCGCGTTGATGTTTTTGATTCCTGCGCTAGGATCCGCACATTCACTTCAAAATCATCGCCGTTGTGCTTTTGTGCCTTTTGCGTACCTAAAGGGGTGTTCAAACGGATTTTAGCTTTTCCATCTAGATGTTCTTTTATGCGGACACAAAGTGGTCTACCCGTTTCCCCGATATATTCCTCGCCGCATGCATTACATGAGATCAAGTATATTATACCTAAACTCATGCAATCCCCATCTCTCCCGTTGGGACAGATCATACAGTTTTCTGAGCTGCACACACGATCATAGAGACGGTTTTGAACTAACTGGCGGCGTAGAGTATTGGGTGAGATGTCAATAATCTGACATAATTTTCAAGACCACTTTTTCTTAAGCACTTTTTAATGGCGTGACTTACTTCATTTGATACGAAGGGCAGCTTAAAGGGGATCCTACTTTCGTCTGAAATATTATTTTGGGAAACTACCCAACGTTTTCCTCTAACTCGAGTGGCTTCTACTTCGTAGCCATTGGAAATGGCAATTTTTCGTGCCAGGTTTCGCGATTCCTTCCTTTCCTCTTCACCTGTACACACATTTTCAGCCGTACGATACATATTTTTGATAAGTGCTTTTTTCATGTGTGAAGGATGAGAGGAGAGGCAGTGAACCAGAATGCTTTTACTACTTGGCTTGCGATACCATTTTGTTACATAGCCACTTGCTGAGAGCTTTATTTGGATGTTTAAGAATGGAAGCCAGTTCTCGGTAGGTTTTTCTCGTGTAAATTTTATATACTCTGACTGTCGGTTTAATAATTCAAAGCACTCATTCATCTGTTCTTGTGTGGAATAGATGATGAAGCAGTCGTCTATGTATCGACGGTAGAGTAAGGGTCGGTGATCGAGAGCTNGTTCAATGGAGAGAAACATCACTGAGGTGCTCCTCTGTTATCCTAATATACAACTGACTAGGAAGAACTGCAAATTCTCCGCCTTTATCAGTAATAGAAAGTCTAATAGGTTTTGAATTCAAAAGCTCTCTAACCTGGCGCATACCACATTTTTGTTGGTTTGTGAGGTTGGAGCTTCTTNGAAGGGCAGCTTAAAGGGGATCCTACTTTCGTCTGAAATATTATTTTGGGAAACTACCCAACGTTTTCCTCTAACTCGAGTGGCTTCTACTTCGTAGCCATTGGAAATGGCAATTTTTCGTGCCAGGTTTCGCGATTCCTTCCTTTCCTCTTCACCTGTACACACATTTTCAGCCGTACGATACATATTTTTGATAAGTGCTTTTTTCATGTGTGAAGGATGAGAGGAGAGGCAGTGAACCAGAATGCTTTTACTACTTGGCTTGCGATACCATTTTGTTACATAGCCACTTGCTGAGAGCTTTATTTGGATGTTTAAGAATGGAAGCCAGTTCTCGGTAGGTTTTTCTCGTGTAAATTTTATATACTCTGACTGTCGGTTTAATAATTCAAAGCACTCATTCATCTGTTCTTGTGTGGAATAGATGATGAAGCAGTCGTCTATGTATCGACGGTAGAGTAAGGGTCGGTGATCGAGAGCTGGAGCTTCCACCTCAGACATGAAAGCGATGGCAAGGCTTGGTGCTAAACGCTGCCCCATCGCCAACCCTCTAATTTGTGCAAAATATTTTTCAGACCATCTAAAGATTGAACAACTAAGACACTGTTTTAAGAGGGTCATTAGTTGCGCAATCGACAAGCCGTGCATTTTTATTTTCTTTTCATGCTCTGCGAGCAACTCGAGAATGGCTTGCATTGCGGAGTCATTGGACACGTTGGTATAAAGTGAACTATTATCGAATGACTCCATTATACGCGTGCTGTTTGTTTGCGCGCGCCTTAAGTGATCTAGAAATATTTTTGTGTTAGGCAGATGGGTTAGAATGAATTTTAGCAGCTGGGTTAGGATAAGGTTTAGGAACCACGTTATTCTATCCGTTGGCCCGCCTATACAAGTGATGATAGGTATAACTTAATACGATGATGGGTTCGTTGACGTAATAACATCAGTTGAAGTGAGCATATGTGTTTTAATAAACAAGTAAAGGACAGGGCAAATAGGGTGTTTATTCTTAAGTCGAGAAATAACTGAAGGCTCTAAACCCGCGGCCTTTGCCGTGCTGACCCATTCTTGATTCAGTTTTCGGTATTGATTTCTGTATTCCTTATCAGAGGATGTTCAATGGAGAGAAACATCACTGAGGTGCTCCTCTGTTATCCTAATATACAACTGACTAGGAAGAACTGCAAATTCTCCGCCTTTATCAGTAATAGAAAGTCTAATAGGTTTTGAATTCAAAAGCTCTCTAACCTGGCGCATACCACATTTTTGTTGGTTTGTGAGGTTGGAGCTTCTTTTTCGTTTTTGGTAGTGATTAAGTATGCGGAGAATTTCGTCCGAAAATAACCGAAATGTAGGGTCAATATCGCTATTTGGTAGCTCTTGTTTAAAGAAAGTTTGGGGNGTCTATGTATCGACAGTAGAGTGGTGGTAGGTGATCGAGAACTGGAGCTTCCACCTTAGACATGAAAGCGATGGCAAGGCTTGGTGCTAAACGCTGCCCCATCGCCAACCCTCCAATTTGTGCAAAATATTTTTCAGACCACCTAAAGATTGAACAACTAAGACACTGTTTTAAGAGGGTCTTTAGTTGCGCAATCGACAAGCCGTGCATTTTTATTTTCTTTTCATGCTCTGCGAGCAACTCGAGAATGGCTTGCATTGCGGAGTCATTAGACACGTTGGTATAAAGTGAACTAACATCGAATGACTCCATTACATGCGTGCTGTTTGGTTGCGCGCGCCTTAGGTGATCCAGAAATATTTTGGTGTTAGGTAGATGGGTTGGAATGAATTTTAGCAGCTGGGTTATGATAAGGTTTAGGAACCACGTTATTCTATCCGTTGGCCCGCCTATAGAACTGATGATAGGTATAACTTTATATGATGATGGGTTCGTTGATGTAATATCATTAGTTGAAGTAAGCATATGTTTTAATAAGCAAGTAAAGGACAGGGCAAATCGGGTATTCGTTCTTAAGTCGAGAAATTACTGACGGCTCTAAACCCGAGCCTTTGCCGTGCTGACCTATTCTTGATTCAATTTTCGGTACTGATTTCTGTATTCCTTATCAGAGGATGTTCGATAGAGAGAAATATCACTGAGGTGCTTCTCTGTTATCCTAATATCCAACTGACTAGGAAGAACTGCAAATTCTCCGCCTTTATCACTAATAGAAAGTCTAATAGATTTTGAATTCCAAAGCTCTCTAACCTGGCGCATAGCACATTTTTGATGGTTTGTGAGGTTGGAGCTTCTTTTTCGTTTTTGGTAGTGATTAAGTATGCGGAAAATTTCGTCCGAAAATAAACGAAATGTAAGGTCAATATCGCTATTTGGTAGCTCTTGTTTAAAGAAAGTTCGGGGAAAGGGTATTGGTGGTAGTTCCCCCCTTGCTACTACTTTACCTAACCTTTCTAGTCTAACCCTGTGATGTAGCTGATCTTGAAGCTCATGCAGACTACACGTGATCCTGCGCAGGATTGGTTTTGAAATGGGTTGACTAGGTGCAAAACTCGGACCCAATTCTAACAAGGAACGCACATTATCTGGGAGCGTTATACCTCCTAGAACAGTAACTCTGGATGTTCTTGGTGCGCAGTCTATTTCAGGGCTTTTACTTGGGACTTGACCAGCGGTGGTCCTTTCATTTGACCTTTTTGAACGGCGTGGTAGATCTTCAAACTTTTTCCTTAACTTGCTCTTAATATCACACCGAATCTTTCCGCATACCGATTTAGACCCAGCTACTATTCTCTTCCAAAGATTTCTCTCCAAATGCTGAGCACAATGGTTTTCTTTGTACACACACTTGTTAAATAGAGTAAACATTTCGCTTTGTGTGCACCGCAATGAAATGCGTAGCAGTTTCATTTCGATGCTCAGTATTTGTTGAGAGCTCTGCGGTAAGCCACATACTTCGTACAATTTCCTACGTTTTGTAAAGTTAAGAATAATTCGATGTTTTAAGCAGCGGCGTAGGAAGTAGGTCTCTTGTCGCATTAAGACGATTTTCTGTCTTAATGACAATACGTCTCTTACAAGTCGGAAATGTTTTGCTGGAACATCTCTTAATCACTCGAAAGACCGGCTTTCTATAAAGCTCGGCATAAATAGTTGATATATTTATTTATGTGATCTTATAAACTGATCTTCTTAAGCTGACGCGAGGTTGGTACAGATCTTCGTTGTCGTTGTCGTTGTTTTTGATGTGATTGATCGATGGCTGACGTTTCGGCGACTTCGTCTTCCTCAGAGCCTGGGCGTATTTAATATTAGAATATTTTTATTATTCGGTGGAAAAGAAAGGTTAAAGTGTTAATGAAGATCAAACTTTCAAAAAGTGGTCTTGAAAATTATGTAACGATTGTTGACATCCCACCCAATACCCTACATCGCCAGTTAGTTCGAAACCGTCTCTATGATCGTTTGTGCAGCTCAGAAAACTGTATGATCTGTCCTAACGAGAGAGACGGCGATTGCATGGGTTTAGGTATAATATACTTGACCTCATGTAATGCATGAGGTGAGGAATATATCGGGGAAACGGGTAGACCACTTTGTGTCCGCATAAAAGAACATCTAGATGGGAAAGCTAAAATTCGTTTAAGCACCCCTCTAGGTACGCATAGGGCACAAAAGCACAACGGCTATGATTTCGAAGTGAATGTGCGGATCCTAGCGCAGGAATCAAAAACATCAACGCTCAAAACTCTTGAGGCGTTTTGGATAAATTTCAAAAATCCAAAGATGAACCGGAAGGACGAATGCCTCACTATCACGCGTGACCTGGCGCCCTATTTCAAAATGATATTTTGACCCCGGGGTGTGTCTTGCTCGCGTGAACTACGTGTGGGCCAGTCCCGCACCTAACATCACGGTGAGTGGCCTTTTTGTTCAATATGGCGTCTATTTGAAAGTTTGATCTTCATTAATACTTTAACCTTCTTTTCCACCGAATAATAAAAGTATTCTAACATAAAGTACGTCCAGGCTCTGAGGAAGGCGAAGTCGCCGAAACGTCAGCCATCGTTCAATAACATCCAAAACAATGACAACGACAACGAAGATCTGTACCAACCTCGCGTCAGCTTAAGATGATCAGTTTATGAGATCACATAAATAAATATAGAATAAAGTTTCTACGGAGGATATTGTTTTCTAATAGATAGTGTTTATTAGACTTCCCCCTGATCCACATCGTGGTGAAGACCTGGACACGCCCTTGCAAGATTAAGTCAGGACTCCAGGGAGGACCAAGTAGCAAGACCAGCAATAGACTAGCCTCAGTACCTCGCACACTGGGTGCCCCCGTCTTTGACGTCAGACGATGGGACGACCGGTGAGAGACTACAAATCTCGGATTTCGCAGGACGTCATTGGAACCGGATCTAACGAACACACGCATGGCACGCCATGGAGATTGTTTCGAATGCACGTATAATGCCAAAGCGCTCTCCACAGACGCCGATCTTCACGCCCTTCTTCTAGCCGTAGATCGCATTAAATTTCATGTGATCGCAAAACAAGAAACAAAAATTAAGAAAACCGACATACGCTAACTAAACAACGGAACCCTTGGGACTCGTGGAGAAATGGTCCCGTCACGAAACGTCGGCGGCGTAGGCTTTGTCGTCCACCCGTTAATTACCCATTTCGTCGACTCATACGAGATTCTTTCCTCTCGCATAGCCGTCCTCTGTCTTAAACTGCCGCATCATAGGAAGATGACTACCATCAACTGCTACTCATCGACCGATGCAGCTGATGAGTACGAATTAAATGCGTTCTATTCTCAGTGGGGGAGGCCTCCGCAATGATGAAGCATACCATAAATTTGTTGTCGGAGACTTCAAAGCCAGAATAGGAAAGGCTAACGAGAGCGAATACATAGTGGGAAAATTTGGATTAGGAGAAGGAAATGAGAATAGGAACCGTCTCGCAGGGCTCCTGTCAGTGTCTCTTTCATGGGAACTCGTTTTTCCAGAAGAAACAAAGCCGCCGCTGGACGTGGGAGTCTCCTAATGGCATGACTCATGCGGAGATCGACCACATTCTGACAAACACCAGATGGTGCCTACTTGACACGTCGGTAGTCCCATTATCCTGTACTGGTTCCGATCACCGCCTTCTTCGCGCGAAGATTCGATTCAGCCGTAAGCTGGAAAAGAACTCTCTTCATCGACCACGAGGAAAAAGTTTAACTGTATACGACGAGAACATTCTGAACGATGTCTTATCCAAACATGACTGGCAGATTGAAGAAAACCCGATCGGAGACTACGACCTGCTTGTCGAAGGGGTGAAAAGCTGTGCCGCATTCGCCTCAGTTCCTCAAGCAAGAAGATCGGATCGCATCTCCATCACTACTAGGGAGTTGCTCGAAAAGAGAAGGAAACTGAAGCTTGATCCTACTTCAAAACGTTTAACATGGCTAGTAATAAATGCCAGCTGCAGAAGAGCCTTGCAGGAAGATCTGCAACGGTAGAGGCAGAAAAACAACTGAAAGCGGCAGAGAGAAGAAGCAGTATGAAAAAATGCCGTCGGGACTTGTGTAATTATAATGTTCCGCTGTCAGCCCTGATGAACGAAGATGAGATCTTAACTCTTTTATTTACTGCCTTTTTCTTCTTAATGGCAGCGTATGTTTCGAATTATAACTCGTATGAAATGCTGAGATATTTGCAAAACTCCGGACCACAGGTGTATGCAGTGGGGAACGAACACGCGCTGTTGTCCTTACCGGGGAGGTCCGGATGGTGTAGTGGTGAAGTGCGCTGCTCCGCGGTAAGGACAACAATGCGTGTTCGTTCCCCACTGCATACACCTGTGGTCCGGAGTTTTGCGAAGATGAGATCATCAAAACGTCGCGCCATGATATGGAAATGATAACGAAAACATTCTACACCAACCCTCTCCGTTCTACAATCCTCTTCCCAGACCCCAATATCCCCACTGCTGAAAAGCACCTAGGACTCTTCCGTTGGAGGATCGAGTTATAGAAAGCATGAAAAGAGGTACAGCTCCAGGACCCAATAATATCACCCCTGACTTCCATAGAGCTGGAAGCTACAATTTGCATGTACCTCTCGCAAACCATATGATCGCCTACCTTCAAAAGAAAAACCCAGACTAGAGAAGGACGTCGCGCACGGTTATCCTACCCAAGAAAGGAGACCGAAGGGATCCTCGTAGCTATCGTTCCATATGCTTGTTAAGTGTACTCTACAAGCTCTTCACCGAAGATTATCATCTCGCGCATATCAAGGACAGTGGATGAGGCGCAACTAGTCAAGCCGGCTGGATTTCGAAAAGGATTTGGCTGCATGGACCACATCCAAACCGTATTCAGAGTCATCAAAATTTGTCGGAAATACCGCTTTCCTCTAGTCCTAACCTTTGTCGACCATCAAAAAGCGTTTGACAGTGCCGAAACGAATGCAATCTTATCAGCTCTCGTCGACGGAGGAGTGGACCCGTCCTGCATAACTCTGTCCAACTGTTTTCGGAGCTGCACTACGAAAATACTGCTTTTCCATCGACCTCTTACCACATCCACAGAAAGAGCGGTCGCGACAATATCGACACAATATCGCCAAAGTTGTTCAGTGCAGTGGATAATGAAGTAACTCGATTGGAATGAGAAAGGCATATGTATTGATGGAATATTCCCATCAAACCCTCGTTTTGTCGACGACATTGTCATCTTCTGACATTGACGGACTACAAAAGGAAACAATTAATAAACAGTATATATATCTCGAGGATGCAGAACAGCAGCAACAGTACAGACGCTGTTAACAGTTCTGTGATAAACAGAACTTCAAATAAGAAAGGAGAAGATGATTGAAAAGGAAGGAAAGTGCGAATAGTAAAGACAGTAAACGGAAGAAGTGAAGGAACCGAATTGCGGCTTCAATGTTGCATTGAGTAGGTCGAAAATTTCAACAAAGAAGGGTTCTTTGTCCAGTTGTGGAAGGGCGAGTGCATTAGCTCATTGTATAGAAAGTCTGTCGAGAAAAAAGTAGTCGATGTTGTCAGGTCTACTTTAAATTCATGGAGTGTTCCAGGTCTCAATCAGGGAATGCTTTGTAACTGTCATCGTGAGGTTAACAGTCTGAAGAGTGTACTTAAGAAATCGAGTTCATAACTAGATGACGGATTTGAGAACAAATTGCTACAGAAGCTGAACTTCGATTTTTCGTAAAGACGGCAAAAGTTAATGGCTTCAGTTTTACATTAATTCTTATTCTAAATGAAAAGCTGAAGTAAGTTTTGAAAGCAGCTAATGTTATTGTATAGATCAAGAGAAATGAACCAGTGTACTAAGAGTCATTACTCCTAACACTGAATTCAAAAGACTCACAGAATGTTGCTTAAAAGTAGTTTTCTCTGGAGTTCTAAGATATCCCGGCTTGAGCCATCCAATGTGTCCAATAAAGGTAGTGGACTGTCACTGTTGATCAGAGGGATCTCTGCGGTCTTGCAAATAAATTTTTCCTGGGAGCATAGATTCGTAGATTCGTGTAACTAAATCATCAACAAGATCTAGAGCAAAGTATCAAACTAAGTTCATTATTCAAGCAAGTGATATTTAATGACGAATCTGTGGTAGTTTGGAAGAAATAACATAACGTGCAGGCATTAGAAGCGGCTTCCTCTGTCATAATGTGTTTCCTGGACCATTTACTGCTATATGGCTCTCTCCGCAAATGGCCAAAGGAAGACAATGAATGGCGGACCAACAGCTGAAAAACGTTTGAGCAACGAATTTGTTTCCAGCTTATTGTTTGCTTCCAAAGATTGCTGTCTAAACGTTAATCAACACGAATATAGCCGAATTTCGAATGGAAGTTTTTTATCGAGCCGAAGACAAATTTTACTACTCTGTGTTATTATTTTTTTATTTTTAAATTTTATTATTACGTGTCAACTGTCCATCGAATCCAATACATTTATACCGCTCATGCCGTTGAGCGGTCACTCTAAATCAATCCGTTATCTGCTCCAAGCCTTACTTTTTTCCTAAGAATTTTATGTGTAGAAGGTCCTAAAGTATTAAATTATTGTTTCTTTTTGCTTCACAATTGGAGAAATTTAGAGATCGTCGTTAAGAACAAAATAGAAATTGTAATCTTCTGTTCCGAATCTTAGCGTAAGAATCTTAAGAATCTTAACTTTTTTATTTACTGCCTACTCTTTTTAATGTCAGGGTATGTTGCGAAGTATAACATCTATGATGCTGAGATATTTGCAAAACCCCGGACCGCAGGTGTCTGCGGTGAGGAACGAACGCGCTATTATCCTTTCCTGGGGCTGACGCAACCACCACAACACCATGCGGATAAAAAAAAAAGTAGGAATGTTCACCAATGTTGGACTAAATGCACCTCGGTTCTTCAACAAAGCTTGAATTGAATCTCCACCTCTATCACCTGTATCACCTGTAGTCCAATTAATCTTCAGGTGACTGGAGCCGGCGCCAGTATATCTTCCAATTTTCCCTGTCCGGTGCAAGAGTAGTCCAGTGGGTTCTCCTCGCTCTAGGGAATCATCGAGTATAATATCTTTCTTCTACGCTTTTCGTGAAGAACTCTGACCATCGGGTCGGAGGTCTCCTTGCAGTACGTTTGACATCCCGAGGAATCCACTCACTAACGGCATTTGTCCATCGGTTGTCTTTCATGCGTATTATGTTTTCGGCTCATCTTATCTTCGACTGTTTGGGGTACAGAACGGCATCTCTGATTTTCGATCCTTGACGCAGATCGGAGCTTCGGATTCCTTTCATTACTTGTATGGAACGGGATATTCCTAGCATGGTCCTATCGACTGCGCGTTCGATAACGATGAGTGATCTTTCATCCTCCTTACACATCGACCACGTTTTTGACGCATACGTTAGGCCAAGAAATAGCGTTGAGCCGAAAAGGTGGTCACGGAGTCGGGTGTTCATTGTTCCCTTCACTACATCCTCGATGCTCTTGAAAGCTCCCCAAGTCTTTCACTTCCTTCTGCTCAACTCTGGAGCTGTGTCGTGCAACATATTGATTTCCTGACCTAGACAGACATAACTGGAGCATTCGGAGATATTCGCTCCGTTGAGCGTTAATGGTGCAGACGAAACCAATCCGCTCTTCATTTACACCGTTTTTGTGAGATTTAGTCGAAGACCAATCTTTCCACCGGCTCTATCAAAGTCAACAGGCATACTTTCCGCTTGGCTAATTTTTGGTGTTATAAGGACGATGTCGTCAGTAAAGCAAAGATGGTGTAACTGCCGGCCATCGATTTTCACTCATGTTCCATTCCAATGTTCGCATAACGTTCTGGAGGGCAGCAGTAAATGATTTTGGCGAGATTGTATAGCCTTGCCTGACCCCTATGTTGACGTCAATGTTAATATCGTTGTAGAATGGTGATATCTTGGTTGTGAAATTTTTGTACAGCCTACGAAGAACCTTTATGTGCTGAGTAGGAACTCCTTGACTACCAAGGGCTTCCATGACTGTTTCTATCTCAATTGAATCAATTGCCTTCTGTAAATCGATGAAAGTGAGAAAGAACGCTCATTTGTACTCTCGCGATACTTCAATGAGTCTTGTTATCGTGTGGATGTGGTCTATAGTATTAAATCCTTTACAAAACTCTGCTTGCTTACATGGCTGTCCTTCGTCTACTGTTCTGTCAATCCTGTTTAGGATGACTCGAGTGAAAAGTTTGTAGGAGACAGACAGCAAGCAGATTGGGCGATAGTTGCCGATATTGTGTAGGCCACCCTTCTTGAACAATAACACGATCTTGCTGGTCTTCCGCGTGGTAGGGACCTTGCATTCAGGCAGGTAACGTGTGAAGAGACGACCTAGTGTCTTTACGAGGACTGGAGGAAGGTTCTTCAGCTGTTCTGGCCTTATCCTCTCTGGACCTGGTGCTGTTCGATTTTTCACCGACGAAATGTCACGTCGGATTTCGAACGGGAGAACAGGTGGTACAACATATCCATCCTTCTTCATTTCATATGACGGAAGCTGGACGTGGCTATCGATGAGATCTGAGTAGTATTCGTGAATGATTTTCTCCACTGCCTTTCTGGACGCTGTAGCTGTTCCGGCTGGACGTGGGAGTGCAACCTCTTGGTCTTGTAATTGGCGAAGCATATAGGTGGGCTTTGCGGATGCTTCTTCCAGCTTGTGCAGTTTCGGCCATTACTGCTGCTCCTCTCTCTTTAAGATCTTCTTTTATCGCCTGTCTGCATTGTTTTGAAAGTTCGGACGTTAGTTCGCGGTTGCCTGCATCTCGAGCGATTCCGCGCTGGCGTATCAGCTCGAGTGTTTCTGGAGACAGACGCCTCTTGGTGACTTTCGAGCTCTGAGCTTTCATATCGCTAGCCTGAAGATGTTGAATGAGCCGATCGTATTCTTTGTCAATGTTATCGACAACGGCATCTTCCCAACTGCCGACTATTGAATTGAATAGGTCCCAGTTTGTGGTGGCTCTGGGACTTCGGTTTCTGAATTTAGTGGCTTCTTCTCCTTTCCGCGAGAAATAGAATCTTGCGCGAAGAAGGCGATGGTCCGATTCCGTGTAGAATTTTGGGACAACAGCGACATCGGTTAGGCAGAACCTTCCATTTACTGTGATGTGGTCTATGTCGTTATGGTACTCTCCATTGGGAGACTCCGACGTTCAGCGTTGAAGATGGGGCTTTTGCAATTGTGAGTTACCATGAATGTTGGTTCTCGTGATAAATTCACAGAGCCGTTCATCCCGTTCGTTCCATTCTGATCGGTAGGTACCAGTGTGACGTCCTTCAGACCAAATTGATCCAGTCTTGGTGTTAAAATCTCCAATGATGACCTTGAAGAATGTATCGTCTTCTCTGTAGACCTTCTCCAAGTCCATATAGCGCTTCGACTTCTTCTTGGTCATAGTTTGATGTCGACGCTTAAGCGACGAAAATTGTCAACGACGAATTGACTCGTAGAATACAATCCGCATGAACTTGAATGCACCCACACACGAGTACGTGAATATGTCTTGTAGATATAGAAGGTATGCGCTAAATCAGCGCAGCAGAAACAGGGAGTCCATCCCCTGGATCCATCTGCGTCTTAAGGAAGGAAAGGTTGCTTTTGGTCCGCGATTAAACTCCTATCCGCCACCTGGGGACGCACCACGTAGCCTCGCAACTGACTAACCGGCTCGAGATCCCTCATATGAAGGAGATCCGTTGCGAATCTCCAACCGCCAAAAAATTGGTCGAGAAGAAAAGAAAGCAGGCCAGATCTGACTGCAGTAAACTTAATACGGGCGTTAATAAATGTAAGCTACAGAGGATTCTTACAGGAGAACAGATAGAACGAGTTATTCGTGGCAGCTCAATATTAGCCTGATATATGAAGATAGATATACTGCAAGAACTTTCCAACAAGAATTGTGTCGCATTGACAAAACCCAGTCCAAAGGTCATAGAATTCTTCTGAAATAACACGTGCTCCTCTTTATAACGATTCTCGACATGCGGAAAGCGTTAATAAACGAAACAAACGCTATCCTATTGGCGAGAAGCAGTCGATCATATGATTGCCATTTAGATTTCGTCTTTCTATATGTGTTATTTAATCGTTTGGCATAGTAATTTGCATACCCTATACCTTCCAGGCTCTGAAGAATGCGATGCTGCCCAAACATCAGTTACTGTTGTGTTGTAGGTGTTTTTGTATGAAGGTATATCCTTTCAATTCTCATTCAGCAATGAGTATTGGAGTAGACAAGTCACTGGACTTGTACGAAGAGGCCATACACATTCATGGCAAAGCTTATAAAACCTTAGATTTTCTAAAGACATCGTCATCTTTTCGTGAAGTAGCAGTGAAGATGGCATAATGTTCAACAGTCTGAACGAAGTGGAGAAAAATTGGACAGCGCATGAATTGATAGAAGACTAAATTCATGAGAAAGAAAACGACGGTGCGAAACTAGAAAGATGAATGGCTTCAGTGCGAACGTTCGTACCTCTTAGAGAAGTCACCCATCAATTGACAATTGACGAATCAACAACACTGCGCCTACCGTTTCAGCAAACGCTTTTTCCTTTTACCTTTTCTTTTTGTACTTTCCACTAACCTGCTATGCATCTACCACTGAACTTTTGAACAATGCTTTCCAGCCTATGTTGCCGCATGTTTGCAAAACTTGGACTCCAGGCTAGATCGAACCGCGATTATCCTTGAGAACATCAGTGGTTAACACGTGAAACCCTGGAACGGCTAATCGCGGTTCGAATCTGGTTTAGGGTATAACTTTTGCGAATATCTCGGTATTGTTGCGTTGCGTTGCTCAATACCTGAGAGATGCGCTATGCATTCGACTCCACTAAGCATCGTTGGAGCTCACAGAACGCATATTTGGCCTTCACAACGACTCGCGGTGGCCTACCGATGTATCGAACCATTGCTGCTACCAAGCAGTCGAAGACAAGGCGTGCCGGACACGTAGTGCGTATGGACGGCAACGGATGGACAAGAGCCGTTAGTAACTGGATTCCTCGGGATGTCAAGCGCACTGCAAAAAGACCACCAGCCGGATGGTCAGAGTTCTTCACGAAAGCCTCGACTAAAGATATGATGCTCAACTAGTCCCTAGAGCGAGCAGAATCCACTGGGCTACTTTTGCACGCGAGAAAGTCGATTGGTTTTGGGAATTCGTACCATTGTACCACATCAGGGAAGCGTGTAACGCAGTGGTCGGAAGCAAACTACAATACATATGGGATGGATCTCGGCACTCCCGGCCCTCCAAGCCCTCCAATACTCAGGGGTCGGTAAATTGGTACCAGAGTTGTCTGGGAGGATAGTAGTACAGACCCGATGCATCGGCAGACTACCACGGGTTTGTAAAGGCCAGATACGCATTTACTCACCCTTAGCTTAATAAAGTCGAATGCATGGTGCATCCCTCAAGGACAGATCAGCGCCGAGAGCTTTATCCCTTATTTTATCCTTTTATACTACGTTGGAATTTTGACATTCTATTATAGAGTTAATATTTCAGAAGCGTTTTCGTAGTCTTCCTTGGTAAGCCTTTCGTATCCATCGGTCCTCAGAGGTCAGAAACATAGGGCAGTATACCATTGATGAACTGAGACATTGTGTTATAGATTCTGGCCACACTCATTGTTCGTTTATCAAGCTTTTCCAAAGCAGAAGTGGGCAGAAATTCTCAGATACTAATGTTAATCGCCTTCGACTTGCTTAGTTATTAGCTACTTGATGGAAGGAATGACTTGAAATGAAGAACACAGTAGGCACAAACAAAGGCAACCACACATGAAACAACAAAAATGTTGACGTACACGATGATCGGTTGAAGTTAATCCGACGTAACCCCTAGGAAGCTTTGAGACTAATTACTTTGAACTTCTCCACATCAGGAAAAGGATAAAGAAGGATAACGCTCTCAGCGTTGACCTATCGCTGAGAGATGCGCTATGCCCTCGACTTCACTAAGCATCGTTGGAGGTGACTCATTGCATATCTAGCCTTTACAATGACTCATGGTGGCCTACCGGTGTATCGAGCCAGTGTTGCTATCCTCCTAGATGCCACTTTGCCCGGAGCTCTGGAACCGATGTCACGTGTATTGCAGGGCGCCTCCAACCGCTGCGCTACATGCGCCTCCTCTCATGTTAACCAAATACGGTAATCTTTAACAGTACTGCACAAGAACTAGATATGCATAGTGCTGAGTAGTACCGGATGAGAAGCTGTGTTGATTAATGTGCTCTATAGGTAATCCCGCGCTTCAATGCCATTTGTACGAACAATATCGATTTTTCTCTTGACGATCTCTCGTAGCTTTGGAGAGCAACGGTGTGGTGTCAGTCAACGATCTTAAAGTACTTAACTTAATTGCAATGTTTAGGTCTCCATCTAGGTTTTTGTATAGAACATAATGCAAAGGAAACAGTATGCGTGGATGGCTTATCATTCTGAGCCCAATGCTGCTAATTTCTGATATTGGCGCTTTTTTTTCTTATCGTTTCTTTGTCCAGAGCAGTTACTTTTCAAATTCGAATGCTTGGTGATGTGTTGTGAATGACGGCAGAAGTGTACTTTTTACCTGAAAATAGAATTCCTCTTAGAGAGGTTTGAGTCTAATCTGAAACATAATGGGATGTCTGAGAGGAGAACCTAGCCAATGTTCTGGTAAACGTATCTCTTCAGAGTTTTACGCGGTACTGTACTATGTGAAAATAAGGGGACATTCTTTCACTTTTAAACGAAACGAAGGAACTGCATGGTGTGGTGGTGAACACGTTATCCCCCGGGAGGAGAAAACGTATTCGATCCTTACCCCAGACACCTACGGTCCGGAGTTTTGCAAATATCTTAGCGTCATCCTTGTTGCATTCTTTTACTTCTTAGTTACTTCTGAACACTTAGTTTTATTTCTTGCCTACTGTTTTACCACTTTTCCATCACTTTGTTAATAAATGTTTAAAAACGGTGAGAACCATGTCCTACATACAGCCTGTCGGTTTCCTTTGCTTTCATCGTATGAAATTTGTTGGAGGTTATTATAGTGTTAAATTCGTGTGTAATTTTTAGAGTCTGAGATGTGCCTCGTCTTAATCAGAAGTGTATGAAACGACTGAAATGGTTGCAAAGTCCGATGTTATCCAGAGCGGGGCTTTGCACGGGAACCTTGTCGAGTTACTTCCGAAACAGCTCTACTTCGCCTCCTTCACAGTGCCTCCTCAGAAATCCGAAGCTCATGTTCGCTACATTGATCTGGACAGCAGGGTAAGTAAGTTTTATGTTAGTCAGTTACTGTTGAGTGTTTTTTTTGCTAGCTCTAACTTTGGTAATGACTTTAGAGGTTTTCTCAACTAACCGTTCTATTGGATTTCTTCACATCTTTTAAAACACCTCTTCTAATTTCTTTCTGGTTTGATCATAAAAAAGATAAAGCTCTCAGCGTTGATCAATACCTAAGGGATGCGCCATGTATTCGACTTCATTAAGCATTGTTGGAGGTGATTGAATGCATATCTGGCCTTTACAGTAACCCGCGATGGCCTACCGATGTATCGATCTTATGCTGCTATCCACCCAGACATGTCTGGTACCAATTTGCTTACCCCATAGGGATGGAGGACTTGCTGAGCCTGGGGCGTGGGGTTCGATTCTATATGTATTGCAGGGCGTCTCCGGCTACTGCGTTATACACGCTCCTGGTATGAGCATATCAGCTATAAAATTCTGCTGCAACAACTCTAGTGGACAACTGTGTGAACTCTCGGAAAATTTTTAATACAAACAGTTCTAGAGGTTTGACCCTTAGAAATTAGGAGCTTACCGTGATTGTCAGTTTCACTTAGATGATAAAACGTGTTTAGAAATAAGTTTTCCATAAAAGTTGACGCGTTCTGATTATTAGGCAGTGAATAACTAGAGGGAAATAGCTGAGGCAGCTTTAGCAATCTTATTTTATGGCGTTAAATATGAATTACTTCAAAGCTGTATATTGACGAAATCAATACAGATTTGTGATGGAGATGTACATCCAAGTATCCATTTGAGTATCTAATATATATCAGTCATGGAAAAGCTTAAGTTTTGAAGATTAGGATGCTCTCATTGTTGTAGTCCTTTCATCTCTGATGTAATATTACTATTAGGACCATGTTATCGGATATCCATTTGAGTAAAATATAATCCTGAATTCTTTATTGATGGATTCGTAACAACTAGGCTGTGTTTTATTTTAGTAGCTCAGAAGTCTTTGACATCATTGTGTTTAGTCCATATTACGCTTGAATTCATAATTTGTTTACAAAACAGAAATCACCTTGCTGATCAGATCGCTTCGATCGATCATATTGTGATCATATTGTTCGACACCCAAGTACGAATCAGGTCACCAGTTTGTTTCGAATTTAAAGGTGAAACGTCCAGCGTTGCTATCAAATTTACTAACGAGTTGGACGTCTGTTCTATCTTTTTTCTTTTTTCTCTGTCTTATATTCTCACTTACAAGGCGTCGTTTTGAGATTTTTTTATGTCTTCGTTATTTTAAGACGTTGAAGCTTCTCACATGTATATTTTCTAAATATTGATGTGAGCCTGTGTGTGATTTACTAACAGTAGAGGCGAGAGTGGTCGTTTTTGAAGTGTATAGTTTTTCTTTTTTTATAAAACGATGCTCTTGGTATTGATTAATTCCTGAGGAATGCGCCTGAATTCGATTTCATTAAGCATAGTTAGAGGTGATTGAATGCATATCTGGCGTTTACAATGTCTCGTGGTGTCCCTCATTTTTATAATAGCAATGGTAATCCCTCATTCTTTTGTTACTTTATTCATCTGTATCACCTGTCGTGCTGTTGATCGTCGAGTAGCTCGAGCGGGCAGCAGTAAATCTTCTATTTTCCCCTCTCGCCTGTAAGAGTAACCCAGCGTATTCTGCTTACTCTATGGACTCGTTGAGCATTATACCTTTTTTCTAGGGTTTTTGTGAAGAACTGTGACCGTCAGATCGGTAGTCTTCCTGCGGTACGACATTAGAAGTGCGATTCTGCAATGGCGAAGATTTTACAATTGAGATGTTATCCGTTTAAGTGCTAAATATGCTCTTGATTTCCTCCCTCGCACGTAAAACAAATATACGTTTCGCAGTTTGATTATTATCATTCTCGGTCGCACAGGATACTGATTAATACGAGTAAAGAAGAGTGGTTGGACCATGACACTAGTTCTTAATTGAAGCTGTTTTAATGATAGAAAAAACGAAATCTTTGATGGAGTGATATTTTTTGAAACATATTTGCTTTTCTTGAAGGATTGAAATAAGGTGACGTCGTTTTTGGATAAACTGGCTGTGTATTTATATTGCACTCTTATCAATAACCTTGATATTACTTTCGTATGTCTTATCAGTTTTTGAATTATTACAGTGGTTTTTAAACGAAAGCAGAGGTTTATTTTAGGTACACTATGAGCCGTTTTATGGAGACTTTGGTCCGCTCAATTTATCCGTGTTGTACAGATGCACTGGATATATTCATGGGCTCGTTGAGGTTTGATTTGTTGTACGAAAGTCTTTTCTTTTGCGCTGTAGGGTTGACTTCATGGCATTATTTTTTGCTATTAATGTTTACTTGTTGATTGAGTTATTTTAACGTGAGTCCGAAAAAACTTAAAAATGCAGCAGTAAATTACTTTTTGGGTCACTATTTCGAAAAATTTGTGAATTCTATGATTCTCTGTGTGGCATTGGGAGGGGTGTTTAATACTTTCACCCATTTTGGTGGTACTAACTTCCATTACCAAAAATATCTATAAGTAATGCCGCCATCCTTTCGGTTATGGCCATTTGACCAATACCTACTGAAAAATGGTTGCCTTTTGAAAGAACGAGTTGCAATGAACGCCGCGGGAGGTAATGATGAACTCCGACAGTCCATTCTTCTGTCCACTCTCTTTATTATGTACACTTCTTTTATCGAATAAGACAAGATTGAGTTGTTAGGTAGTTAAGTATCTTAATATGTTAGTTTCCTCCCAACGGTTTATCGCCTCATTGTGGCTGGGAGGTGTTCTTGGGTATCGGACTGCGGTGTACAGTGGCGAGATTCATCCCACGTACAAGGGCCTCCCAAGTTGATAAGGAGTGCAGCGTTTCCACTAGGAAGCCAAGCTAAGAGTAAACCAGTGCTAGGATCCACCACCGTCCTGGTATCAAACTAGTCGCTTGGTGGCAAATCTCCCTCTGGTCTGCAATTGCGGCAACTGCCTGCGGTGGTGATAACCTCGGGCAGACCTTGGCTAGGCTGACCTCGATGCTCCATGGGACAACAATAGCTAAACCAGCGAAACTCCGAAAAAGTGGAGATTATGCTGGGCCCGCACAACTAATGACAATGGACCACCCAAGTATCCGAGTGAATAAGTAATATGTTAAATGTTAGAATGGTATTAGAATGTATGTGTTTCTAGTGCACACCACTTCTTTCTTCTCAGGAGAGTTTAGATCGGTATGAGAATTTTGTTAATGCCTCATGTACGTTAACACATAGGTTTTTAGTGGGTTGCTGTTTTATCTCAAGACATTAAAACCATAGTTTGACAAGTTCAGTAACAATACTTTCTCGTATTCCATGCCTTCGTATTTCATATTTTCCGATTTTTTTGTTCTTCAAGTTTTTACTTTTTTATTTGAAGCCTGACTGGACGTTACGACTTTTTAGGCTCAACGGAAACGAAAAATTGTAGTGTATACTAGCAACGATGAGCGAAATCGTGTTAATGGAGCCTATATTATGGGATCGTATCTGGTTCGTATTAAGGATCTTTCAGTTTTATTCAACGTCATTATATGTATAATATATGTATATACAAGTGTTTATATAAGGTACATGTGTATATACATGTGGACATGTGTATTTATATACACATATATAAGTGTATATACATATCACTTATTTGCTGATGTTCTTATTTATTTGGGGTTGTGGGTAATTCAGTTGTAGAGATACCGTTCATTACGGAAGGTTGGGTGGAGACGAATCGAATGCGGAAAGTATTGAGATACGCACAATATCTGATATCGGGACCAGTTTACTTTTTTCCAGATCATATATCAGGGAATTTCTGCAGATGCTGCCTATCTCCGTTTAGAAGGAGCTCAGCCTCCCAAATTCATTGGTTTTCGCGATGCAGCACTTGGTGAACCAACGTATTTGCTTCATCTTCATGATGTCTTGAGATCTGTTGAAAAGGTAATTGGTCTCAAATGTTCTTCCCTCCTTAATCCGATGCCTGTATTCCGATGTTTAGGCGCTTCACTTGAAGTGGTTTGACATTGCTTCGTTTGATGCCGAAGAATATGAATTGTACGAGCGTGTAGAGAATGGCGACATGAACTGGATCATACCTGGCAAAATTCTTAGTTTTTGTGGGCCTCATAACGAATGTCGCATTGAGAATGGTGATTACGTTAAACCTCGGCTGAAAGTTATATGGATCAATATGGTTTTTGCTCCATTTATATGCTCCTATGGAATTTTGATGGTGTGCCTGTGGCGCAGTTTCGGAGGCGCTCTGCAATACACTTGGGACCGATCCCACTCCCCAGACTCATCAACCCTTCCATCCCTCCGAGTTCGGCAAATTGGTACCAGACTTGTATGGGAGGATGGCAGCTCTGATTCGACACATCGATAGGCTACCGCGGATCATTGTAAAGGCCAGATATTCATTCACCTCCAGCGATGCCTAGTGAAGTCGAATGCATGGCGCATCTCTCAGGGATTGATCAACGCCGGCAGCTTTTTAGCTTTTTATGAAATTTTGGTGTTATTCTTTACATCACTTCTTCTTAAGGTTATTACTTTAACTTTTTTCTGTGGGTTTTTCAGGATATCCGTATCATTCACCGGAAACGTATTTTGAATACTTTCGTGCAACTAATATAACAACGGTTGTGCGTTTGAACGTAAGGATGTACGATGCAAAGAAGTTCGTCTATTATCGTGAAGTTTCTCTTCTCAAAAGGCTTTTTTCCATGTTTCTGCGTCATTATGAGTGAGAAAACTTACGCACAGGTTCACGGATGCTGGCTTTGACCATGTCGACTTGTTCTTCATTGACGGCAGTACACCATCTGAGAAAATTGTTGAAAGGTTTATTAGTGTGGTAGATAATGCAAAAGGCGCTGTTGCAGTGCACTGTAAAGCTGGTAAGGAAAAATGCCTTTTTTTCAGTATTTCCGATACTTCTGCCCATCAAAACAAGTTGTTTTGTAGGTCTTGGCCGTACAGGTACACTTATCGCTTGCTGGATGATGAAGGAGTTTGGGTTGAACGCTGCTGAGTGCATGGCATGGTTGAGAATATGCCGACCGGGTAGCGTAATTGGTCCTCAACAGGAATATCTTGTGTGTTTTGGTTTTTTTTCTCATGCTGATTTTATTTAATTGCGAGGCAATTTTGATAGAGAGATTTCTCGTTAAATGGTTATTGCCTGATGTAGAGCTAGTAAGTCTCATAATTATAGGTATCAATGCAAAAGTTCTGCTGGTCTATGTCCCAAAACAGTGTTGTTCAGAAGGCTCGACGTTATCATGTTCCAGATTCTACGGAAAAGAAAACAGTAGGCAAACTCACCTCTCAGGTACCCCACAGAAATTTCAAAGTAGAGAAAGAAAGTGACTGAGAGAGAGGCAAAGCAGGAGCCTTGGATAATGTGGTGGATAATTGTAACAATGTGATTCCCTTAATAGTTTACTAAACTTCATGCATGTTTTTATAAACAGACTTGTTGTGCGATTTCTTATGGTTGGAAGTGCTATACCATTGAAGACTAATGTGTGTCAATTTTTAAAGACTCATGTATTCGCTTCTCTTTCCCTTTAATGACTGAAATAATTTACTGTTTTCATGATGAGTAGACATGGCGTTGGTTTCCTCGCGTCCATCATCGACGTAGGTTTTAAAACTTTTTGCACGTAAATTCGCCTACTACTTGAGAAGGTTTCTCTTTCGTTATGGTTTTCGTTAAATTCTGTTGGATTTGATTCTCCGTGAAGTTCGCGGATAACCGAGTTGGAGCGTTTTCATTTGGAATGCAGGAGGCGAACTTTTTCTGGGCGAGTCTGGTACCAATTTCCCAACATTCATTTTCGCTAAACTTGTCGCTCAAGCGCGAACAACTCTTGAGCGGTTTCTTCTTATCTGAAATACTTTTCTGAGATATAACCGACGCTCTCAATGTATAGCTTAGAATACGGTGCTCAGATCTTCGAAATCTGTCACATCTTGAAGATTTAGCAGAGTATATATCGATAACGAAGCACAGTTGAGCTGATCGTATAATGAGAAGAAAAGATGACATACAAAAAGAACATCGCTAAGGACTCCAAGAGAATGCAAGTGCCCTTTTGGTGACCACCCAAGCAGTTTGCGGACGTGTTCGTGGCTAACGTCGGCTTTCTGCATTCACACATGGCAACAATTTCGGAATACGGTTTCCTGAAAGATAACGGGCTGGAAAGTGTACTGGGGTCCGCACTACCGGGATAAATTGACGGTTTAGGTATCCAAGTAATTAAAGTTGTGCTTTGGGGTATGGCTTGTCCTTTGAAGGTATCCTTAGCGGCTGTTCAGCATTTTTTTTTCACAAAGTTTCTCTTCGATGGTGAGTGGACAGGTAATGATCCAGGGTTTTTATCACTTAGATTTCGGTACCATTTGGTGACGGAGCTGTTTTTGGATAGATCATTGCGAACGTTCATAAACGGAAACTATCCTTTCTTCCGTTTTTCCTGGATTGAGTTCATGTAACTGTCCGACATCACTGTCGTTTATAAAAACGTGTTGAATGATTCCGTAGTGCAAGCAATTAGCGAGGCTCTTTGTGGATCCTGAAGGAGTAGAAGGAATAACAAGGATTTGTGGTTTCTGGGCTCAGTAGCTCATGGACGTCTTGAAGGAGTGCCTAAAAAGTCCAGTTTTTGGGTAGTACGGGAAATATTTGTTGTTTCAAGAACTGAAAACATTCGTCCATCTCTTTTGTAGAGTGGATGAGGAGCAGTCGTCGCCGTACGTATAACGGCCAGAGATTGAGTACTGGTGGTTCTATTTTGGTACATGAACCCATTGGCAAGGTTTGGTTCCAGTTGCTTACCGTTCCTCTCATTTGTGCGAAATACTCCGCGGATAATTCAGAAATACACTGCAAGGGAAATGCATCGTTATTATGCGTGATCTCACACAATATCTCAGACTGATATTTGAATCTCAAAGAGGGGGCACATTACCCACCTAAGTAAACTGCGCGGTTGATCTACATCAATAAACGGAGGAGTCATAAAAAACGATGGTAATGTAAGCAGGCTATTTCCTACTTGATTAAAACTTAGATTCCAGGTTTTTCTGTTGAGGTTGTATAAGTATTTGGCGAAATAGATTTCGGACCATCTTTACCTTTCTAGGCTGTTAAGAAAGCGAAATACGCCGAAGCATTAGCTGTTAGGAAATAAATAGTATAATAACAATTTCCCTGGAAGACTTTCTTCTCACTTCTTTATTTATAATTATCTCACCGTTTTTCTTGATAAGCAAATACGTGATGGGTATTACACCATTTATTAATGCAGAATAGCTGACGTTTCGGCGGTTTCGCTTTCTTTTGAGCCTGAGGAGGTCAACATGACCCGCAGTCTGCTCAACCAAAGACTTATAATCTTAGCGGACAAGATTTCACACATAAATTCCCATTAGGATGATGAACAGCTTCTTTTAAACACTAACCGTTTTTAATCACCTAGATGGCAAACGAAAATTGAGACAAAGCACCCCACTAGGTACGCATAGGATACAAAAGCTTGGTAGAGAGGATTTTGAAGTAAAAGTCAATATCCTTGCACAGGAGACTAAAACACCAGCACGAAAACTTGAGGCTTTTTGGTTAAATGCCAAAAACCCTACAATGAATAACAGGGATGAATACCCAGAGGTCACACGCGACCTGACCCCGTATGTTCGCATCAATTTCTGATATGGGATGGTGTGTTCATCAACCATATGCGACTATAATCAGCTGTTCTAAACTTCCACATTGGAAGTCACGTAAAAAGCGGTGAGTTTTTTGAGAAGATGTTGATCATGTAATTACCATAAAGTTTTTCGTGTTTTTGTAAGTGGTATTGAACCGTTTGGTCTAGTGGATTGTATATCAGTGTACCCTTCCAGGTTCTGAAGAAGGCGATACTGTCGAAACGTCAGCTAGCGTTGTATTGTATTGTGTTTTTCTGAGGAAGTAAATGTATGCTGTTTAAAAACCTCGAGATTGTTGAACAAGAAAACGACGCATTCATATTACAATGCCGAGGTTAATAGAAAGTCGATCCTAGGAACTAACCGTTTTGATCGTTATAAGTTTTCCAGTTAATTGGATTGGGACCAACCGCACAGAGTGTTACATTGCTGAGCAATGTGCTTGGGCCATGTTAACGAATCAGCCTGAGGTATGACTTGAGGTCACACGACACCACGAGATCCTCGTACTTGCGGTGCATTTTTGGGTTTTTGGAATTGATCCAAAACTCTTCAAGAGTCTATACGTGCTGATGTTTTGGATTCCTGCGCGAGGATAGTTTCATTTATTTCTTTTATTTCAGAATCTTCCCCGTTATGTTTCTGTTTCCTATGCGTGCCTAGTGGAGTGTTTAGTTCCAATTTAAGTTTACCGACTTGGTGTTCTTTTAAGCGGACCCTACACGTTTCGCGAATTGTTCGTCTCCACATGCTTTAAAAGGGATTAGGTACATCAGAACTCATGGAGTCCCCTACTCTACCGTTAGAGAATATTATTCAATTTTGCGTTGTGCATAACAGGTTGTGTCATACAGGCGGTTACGAACGATAGTTACCTAATACTTAGTACTGGCCCCAGAATTTCAAAGGTATGGTAATTTCGCTGGAAATGAAAAGCAGGATAAACGAGAATAGAACTTATTCTTCATAGTATCATCGTTTGGTGTTATGACTTTTCGTGTTCATCTATCCCTAGGAGCTACACTTTTGTAGCTGTACGAAATGGCTATTCGCCGCGTCATTTTCAGGGATTCTTCCTTCTGCTTTTTCATTTTTCTGTGCAGCATGGTGGTTGTTGGAAACATGTTCATCTTTTGTGTGAGGGATGAGAGAAAAGAAGTGTTAAACCAAGATATTTCTAGATATTTGTTTCTAAGATATATTTTAAGATATTTTTGTTACTTGGCTTTCGGTACCACTTGGTAATGTGTTATTTTCGGTTAGGCTATTTTGAACGTTCAGAAATGGGACCCAGTTTGCTTTCGGTTTCTCTCGGGTGTCTGACTGTACGAAGTGGCTTGGAGCATCTGTCTATCTCCTCCTGTGTGCAGCAGATGACAAAACAATCATCTTTATATCTAAATTAGAGTAATGTAGTTACTGGTGCATCCACTTCAGACATAAAGGCCATCGCAAGGCTTGGTGCTTGTCGCCGCCCCATTGCCAACCCACTAATTTGTTCGGAATACTTCCCAGACCATCAGAAGGAACAGTTCAGGCACAGCTTTAAGAGGGCCATTAGTTCCTGAATCTTGAAGTTATGCATGTTTACATTTCTTTTCGTGTTGCATAAGGAGCAAGCGGATTGCTTTCATTTCGCGGTCATTTGATACGTTAGTGTTAAAGGCCTTAATGTTGAAGGACTCCATAACGTACCCGATGTTAAGACTTGCGTTGCGTAGACGGTTCAGGCATATTTTGGTATTCGTGACATGGGCTGATTTGTTTCAGCAATTGGGTGACAGTTAGGTCTCTAAACCAAGCTATTCTATCCGTTGGCCCGTCTACACTGGTGGTCGGTCTAACCTTGAAGGTTGAGATGTCACTAGGCGCTAGATTATCGGTAGTTACTAGCTTAATTGTTAGTGATTCGTATTAGTAACTCAATTTCAAATTTTCAATTAACAAACGGTTTAACTTTACCACGCCTGCCACTTTGAGCCATTACGTGCTCAGTTTTAGGTATGAATTTTAAGTTCCTTTTTAGATAATCTGCGATAAGGGGAACGGTTTTCAAGAAGTTTTCCTGTTATTTCAACATCTAACTGGTGGAGTATTACCCCAAACTCCCCACCTTTTATCACCAGCTCATAGTCCAATAGTTTCTTATTTTATTAGTTCTCGGCCCTGTCTCAAAACACATTTTTGTGCTGCTGTAAGGTTGGAACTACACTTTCTGTCGCGGTGGGCGGTGGTGGTCAAGGTTTTATAGAGTTTCGTCCGAAAATATGCGAAAATTTATATCTGCGTCGCTATTGCGGTTTTGCCGTCAAGAGAACGCTTGAGGAAAAGGAGGTGGTGATAATGTTACTACTTCTTGTTAGTCATTTCTGTTTAGTGTTTCAATTCTAATTTTGTTGCGGAGTCGATTTTGAAGCTC